ACACTCCAGCTTCTGGCCTGAGCAACTGCAGACACATGCCTGCATTTCCAGAGTTAACAGTTAATGTTTATTCACTTGCAAATTGGTTCAATCTACACAGGTTAGACTAACCTGCAAAGTTTGAATCAATTCAGGCTCTGGCTTTTTGAATGTCTGTCTCTTGCCACGAGGGCTGTCATCTGACTCAGTGCCAAATAATTACAGCAACTGCCTCTCATTCAGGAAGGCTGGGGGCACAGCTCGAGCTCTGGCTTGCTCCAGGACAGAGAGCAGGGCAGAAGGCAGTGTTTCAGGCCCAAGCTAGTGCCCTCACCATCCCTACCCTCCTTCTGTTTGTGCAGCCCCTTACACAACGAAGGCCCCAGCTCTGGTTATAACCCTGCTCCGGATAGCACTAAAAACAGTGTGGCCGGTATCCTGGAAACTGCCTTTACGAATCCTTTAGCAATATTCTCTCACCCAACATTTTTGCCAAAATACCTACTAACCAACAGAATATGCTGGAGTTCCTGGTTATAGAAAGTGATCCATAGAGGGAAAAACCAAGGCCAAAAATCACTTTCTCCTTCATGTGGATGTGTGACAAATGTCCTCCAGCAGTACCTGTAATCTAAATACACAAACACTCGGTCAATCTTGGCAACAGGCCTGTGAACTTCATTAAACATATCAGCAGCCTAGTATGAGGTCAATAAATTTCCAGTTTTACAATGGTGAAAAGGGTCTAGGTCCTTGTGTTCTGAGCTAGTAATGAGTTAGTGACAGGGTTGACAACACCAGTAACATCCACAAGACCCCATCTATTTCCTAGGAGCCAAATCACCCTGCAACCATGCCCAGAATCCATGCATCTATTCTGGGAGGTCTGCCTTGATCTGGAGACATGGGTGGTTCAGACAAAGAACTGCACCGCCCTCTGGTTTAGTATTGGTGCAAGAGGATGTTCCTCTGTTGATGCTCTGCCTACTGGAGCTTGGCAGGGGGAAGAGCGTGGGAAAAGGGAGAACTCAGCTGCTTTGTAACAGGACCAGAGAGTATGTAGATCACAAGGGGGTGGATTCAGAGAGAGGTTAGTCCTCTCCTGGTGAAATACAGGCAACCCCCACTTAACGCTGTTTTGCTTAGCACTATTTCACTGTAACA